AATAAATCTGTCTAAGCCGCTGTCTGATTTTATGCTCTTAGAAGTAGATGTGAAGACCCCAAGTTCTCGTGTGGAGACAGATAGTTTAGATAGATAGATAATTTTTAATAGTTAACCACAAAAAAGTCTTAAAGTACTGTGAGCTGATGTGCTTAGGCCTGTTGTCTTTCAAAATATTCAGTGCTGGTGTGAAGCAAATAATAGGAGGGGATATTTCTGCCTTCCTCAAATTTTTTATTAACAATCTTCATTTCTTCAACTTCTTTGCACGTACTACTTTAATCATTATATACGTTCTACAGTTTCCAAAATTGTGGCTTGTTTAAACAAGGGGGTTCAAAGTTTTCCTTAAGACCTCATTCCAGCTCACATACATAGTTCTGGTTATTTGTTTAGAGGATGGACATGTCAGAGCAGCCTTTGGTGCTAATTGTTGCATTTTTGTTCACATTGGCAGCATGTGCAAAAAATTTCCATACAAATCCTATTGTTCTGTATTTAAAATTAAAATTAAAATTAAAAGTTATTAAAACAGACTCTAGAAGAATAGCCTATGCTATATCCCAGACTTTGACTGCTGTTTCAGTTTCAGACTTTTTCAGTCTGGCATTGCAAAATATTTTTCTTGAAGTAAATGGAGCCTGTCCCTCAATTACAGTGGAAAATATCAATTGTTTCTTAAGTTGCTTTTGAAGAACTTAGTGTAGAACTGTTTGTCATGGTTGTGGTCAGGCAGAGACTCGGTGCCATGAAGTCTCTGAGGGAAACTGGTCTTCTTTGGAATAGACGAAAATGTCAGAAGAGGGAACAAATAGATGTAAAAATTTCAGCAAAAACAATACATTCTCTTTAAAACTATTTCCTCATAAATGACGGTATTTTTTAAGGTCAAAACCAGGCAATATGATACAATTGATTAGTTTGTTTTATTCTGCATAGATGTTCTGATCTAAATTATGAGCAAAAATTATTTGGCAGACAGCAAACTAATTGCTCTCAGGAATTTTCCTTATTCGGAAAATTTGAGGGGAGACTTTTTGGCAGGAAGCTGCATCTAAATGAGTAAATTCCACAATTTACAGTGTCCGTAATGTTTTTTAACTGTTGTGCTGAAACCATGTCTGTGTCTGCAGCAATTTAACAACCTCAGCTCCAGACAGTGTTGTCTTAATGCAGAAGAGTTTATACAGCACCTGTTCCATCTTTTGTCTGGCATAAAAAAAAATTATTATTCCTTTCTTTCCCAGGCTTTAAAATCAATCATTTTAAGAGATGAAGCAAATAACAGCAACCCTTTAATGAGTCCTTGCCATTTCTTTGGCTGGAAATCAAGAATAAGGTTCTTTTCTTTAAGGAAATAGTGAAAATGGTGTGAGGATGCAGTGAACCTAGTTCTTCATGAAAACCAGTAACAGGAGATATATTGGCTGCCTTCAGAACTGCCCATTTCCGAGCCAGTATCCTGCACAAATGAGCTCACAAGGGGAAGGCTCAGCTCCAAACAAGCCCTAATTATGAGGGTCTGTGAGGAGCACTGGCTCTTTGGAGAGGCTGAGATGACCCATAATATTGATTGATCCCAGAAAAAACACAGAAGAATTTTAAGCAGGCTGTTTCAGAGCAGAAAGCAAGGGTGTAGCTATGGGAGACTATAGCTTATGAACAATAACATACCTCCCAAAAGGAGCTGGCTAGCATGAGACCCCATTTATGCTGCACTTGGAAATTGGACAAGTGCTCCCGGGGTACAGGTGTGCCTTTGGTCTGACTCCTGTAAGGGATTTTTACCAAGGAGAGCTAAGGTTCCAGAATAGTACGAGATAATCAAAAATGTGTTTGACAGCTGCTCTCCAAACGGGTTTATCAGTTTGAGGATCACTAAGAGCTTTCCTGGGGGGAGCAGTAGAGGGTTGTGGCCATCCAGCCTGGAGCAGCTGTGTAGACAACTCCTCCTCCTCTCTCTATAGGCAATATAATGGTTTTGTAAAGGGGTTGCTTGGGGTTGCCAGTGAGGGAGTCCATGCATATTCCACCACAGACCGTGTGCCCGATGTAACCCAAGTAAGTATGTGGGAATCTGGTCCTTCATGGTAGTGTTCACAAGTAGGAGAGAACTCCATTTTCATGTCACCTTCAAACTTGTTGACAGCCCGCTCTCCCTTGGCCACTGCTAATACAGCCCTTCTCCTGATCATTCCTGCAGTTTCTCTGAAGCCTGCTAGATCAGGCTTGGCAAGGAGGGATGTCTTCTCAATCCCCTTGCATGTGACACTGAAGTTTCCTGCAGGTGAGGGAAAGAATGTTGCTACTCTAGGGAAGAGGATTCTCTTCAGAAGAGATGAGGAACAAACCAAAATCTACTAAGAGGAAAATGTCCATCTCTCAGGAGTGTTTGTGAGGGGAAACTAGGATCTTAGACTGCATTTACAGCCCATGATAGAAAAGAATAAACCCCAGCATGAGGATGGATGGATGGCTACCACCTACCTCCAGAGGTCTACATCACAACCTGGATGTGCATGCTGTAATGTGCAGAGTGTACAGGAAATTTATGGTAACTAGGTTTGTAAATCAGGTGTCTCCAGACCATACAGAATTCCATCAGTCTACCTTTTTACCTGTGTATTTATCAAAAAGTTTCAAGGCAAACAAACAAGACTTTGCTAAAAAAGAAATTTCCCAGCCATTCTGAACAACTTAAGAAGGAACTCAGGAGATGCAATCCTATTTTTCCTCGGCCATATCAGAGAAAGAGAAGATGATTTCATGTTTTTGTCTGCAACAGAGCTCTTTCATGGTTGACCAAATGGAGGGCTCTTCCTTCTGCTGTATCCAGCTACCAAAGCTGGTTTATGGAGAATTTCTCATTGCATTAGAGTTTTCCTGTTCTAAAAGATGATGCAGTGTGCAGAACTGACAGGACTTGTCTGGTCTCTGGTCTGAATTATTGGCTGTAATTGGTATGTCTGTCCCTTAGCTCCATCTGTGTTATCTGAAGCATTACAGGTTTGAATTCTTAGAATTGTATAATCTGTTTATTCGGGGGTGATATTTCCCCCTCTACTTATGACATCTTGCTCCCTTTCTCACATGAGGAAAAAACACGAACATCTACATAATTAATTTGGCAAATAATGAAGTACTTTTTTTTCTCTCTTAAGAGACTTTGTTTTGATTGACTAGTTTTCTCTCTTGCTCCTGCAATCAGAGGCTACTTTCTGATGAGATGATCAAGATAGCTAACAAAAGACATTGACTCTTAACAGGAACAGCTGACTTCCAAGTAGCTAATGCACACAAGTTTGAAAATACCTAGAAGAAGTAGTAGGATCGTTCTTTCTGGAGCAGGAATTTTGTGGCTGTTGTTAGTGGGAGTTCAGTATGACACTTACCTGTTCTCTTATCCATACCTTACAAAAATGAGTTTAGGCTACCCACAAAGACACCTGCTGGTTAAAAACCATGAGAAGAAATGACATAATTTTATTCCACCAGCAGCAGTTGTAGATGACACTTTGCCTATAAAGCCAAAAGCTATCTGGGTACCCTCCACACTTGAGCAGTCGGTGCTCAGCAAACCACTGTTGCCCCTCCACATTCCGAATGGATCCCATCTGCTCACAGGGGCCTTGCAGACATTATAGGTTATGGTTTACAACCACTGATATGTACCTTCTAGCAGGAGAGCAGAAGTTGGTGTTCCAACTGCAGGAGACACGGAAGGCGGGAAATGTAGGCATCAGTGTCCTCATTTAGGGTCTGCCCTGATTCTGCCTGGCCTTGGAAGAGGAGTTCACAGGAAAAAGTAGCTATTTTCCTATTGGAAAGACTGCACAAAGTCAGCTTCTACACAGTCCTCTTGCCTCTCCTGGAAGAGCAGAGCTGCAGCATGACTGTGGTACAGCACTGGTCACAAAACAGACAATAAAGAGAATTCAGTTAGTGTCTAATTATTGCATTCAGTTTTGTTCTGTTTTCAAAATATGGTCTGGAAGGTATTACCTTTAATGAAGAAATAAACTCTGTACAAGTAGAGAAGGCCTTTTGTTTAAAGGCTAGGCAGGCTTTGGCTCTTTCCTCTGGTTTTGGGTGATGTTGTCCTCGAATTGCCTTGTTATTCCTATCTGTAGACCAGTGATGATAATATCCTTACTTTTTAAAACAGTTTGAGACCTGCTAATGAGGCATAGTGTATACAGCCTTTATTAGTGTCCTTGTTTGTAGAGTATTACTATGCACAGAGTGGTATCAATGTGACTTCAGAATATGTAATGTAATTATTTATGCGGAGTATAAATACAGTCAAGGCAATGCTGCCTGTGCTGTGATAAAATGACATTATGTTGCTCTGACATTTACCAAAAAAGCCTTCTTTTTCTATATTGCATTTGCTATGTGTCACTGATATTCTGCTACAAAATGAACGTAATGGATGAAAGAACAAGAAAAGCATTTTGATTTTATCTTCTAAAAAAATGAGATATTTGGTATTAATAGGAGCTTTTCCCTTCGAAGCCAGGCTGCATATCACTTGTTAAACAGTTGCTAAACTTTTCTGCTGTCATGTTCAAAGGAAATTTATTAGGCAGAAAAGCCATGGGGTGAAGAAGATGAAATTGTGTTTTTCTTGTGTCAGTATGATTCAAAATTATAATTACTGTTTATCCTTTGTGGTCATTGTCAGTGTTGATAAATACAGTTACTTTACCATCCCTTGACTAATTCTTAAGGCTTAGACAAGTCAGCAGTTGGACTAATGTGTTTAACTTTGTATTAATAAGAAACAGAAATTGTCAGCTAGATACTTGATCTTACCAACAGTTGCTAGTCTTATAGTGTTTACTTTATGGTAAAAAAATCTGCTGAAATCTGGCACTAAATACAAGATGATTCCAGCTGAAAGAAGCCTTATGAGGTCATGGTGGATTTCCAAAACAGGTGCGCACCAGCTTAAATAAGGACATTTCTGAAGGTGAAAACTTATTTTTCTCTTTTTGCAGGGATCCCCAGAATTTGTATCCCCCTGAGGTCAGCAACGCAAAGCTTCAGTATGCTGGTTGGGGTCCAAAAGGGCAACAGCTGGTAAGAGAAAGAACAAGTGTGCAAATTAATTTCGAGACCATGCTGCTATTGTTTGGAAGTAAAGAAAGAATAAATCAGTATTGACCAGTTTCTTGAAACCTGTATGGTAGCTTCTAGCATCTTTATGGGAATTATTTTATCATGTTATTTATTTGTAAAATTCCCAAATATATACGTTTGCTGCAAACAAATTGTGTTGAGAAACGCAAAGAAAGAACAAGCTATGGAAGCTCTTTGAGAGGATGCACCTGCTTCTTCTAATGTTGGACACAGGACAGATTATAGACATAATAGATGGTATGACTTAGTATATCACTGTTTCACAAGGGCATCTTCAGACTTACAAACTTGACACTAGGATTATTTTAATATTAGCATCCCTGTTTGAAAAATGCGTTTCTCTAGAACAGCACTTTCCCTTAATTTGCCCTATAATTGTTTGAAAAACAGACAAAAGTAGAAGGGTATTCTGGAAAGTTTTCAGAGCTGGAGTTTAAAAAAACACTTGTCAGGGTTTCATTTTATTTCATGGACCCTTTCATACTGCAACAATCCTGAAATCTCCAGTGTTTTGTCCCTCAGCCACTGCCATCTTGGATTTGCCCATTTTTTAGAGCACGTATTCCCTGGCCAGATCCCCTGGCTTCATTTCCTGGTGCAAATCCAATATCAAGGTTTTGCATATTCCAAACACTCTATTTCGACTCTAACAAGAAAAGAAAAAATGGCAACTTCTTTTTTCATATGGAATTTTTATACCAAGAAATGTGCTTTAAAAACTCATTATCAACAAAATCTGGCATATGTCTCCTGTCCCCACACCCTTCTTGGGGATATTTTGGCTGTGTCCTTAACTAGATTTTTTCAGATTTTGAGATTTAATAAACAGCAATGGGAGACATTATGACTGCCAGTCTGCAAATCAGGTTGGGGGGAAACATAACAGACACAGTAACAGAAATGTCTCTCCTCTGCTCCATTGGAAAAATCAGGTTAGAGAGAGTCATCGATCTCAAATCTGGTAGGAGTGGAGAAGCAGTAGCCTTTACTTCCATGCAAAATGACTTCTGAGGAGTTCATTTTTTTCATTACACACACGTACATGCCCCACTTTTATCCTGTAACATGCCATTTGATGTTTCTTAATCTGCTGCCCAGCAGATCACAGCTGAGCAGTTTGTACCGATACACAGACACTGGGGTCTGACCGTGACCAAAGTCTTTCTTTTATATTCATCGGTGAAGACCAATGTGATCTCGTCATCAGGCTTCTGGCCAACTGAAGATAATATACAATCAGTTGATAACACATTATGCTCAAAACTAGAGACTGGCAAAAAAAAGTAACCAGCAACTTTTTATTCACTCTTCACTAGCTCTTTCTATTTTAAGTCTAGATAACAGAGCTTCACAATTTGTAGCAAAAGCTACATTTGCTAACTGAAAGCTAATATTGACTTGCATTAGTGATTTTCTCCATTCCGTAAGTTAATCTTGCTTTCTTTAATACAGTTTTGCTGTGAACTTGCATGCCTTCAGCACCTTCAGTCACAGCATGTTATTGATTCACGTTCATGTTAGTTTTACTAAACTGAATGTATGTACTTAATTCCCACCTTGAAAAGAAGATTTAACTTGTTTCTTGCTGAAGTCAAGATGACAAATTTAATTCCTCCATTGCCTTGTTTACAAAAGTAACACAGCGGTACAGAAAGGAAAAATATTCGTATCAAAATGGACAAATTATATGTACAACAGGACAGTATATACAGTCCAGGAAAAGAAAATGCTTCTTTAGTCCCAGCTTTCTCCTTTCATGCTGAAATAATTTATACCACTTTCCACCAATTTTTATTGAGAAATATACAGTGAAAACTTAATTCCCTAAGAATTCCCTGAGACATCAAATTTAGTATATGTCCCTTCTGTGGGGGACATGGCAGAATTTTTTAAAAATAATTTAAAATACTCTTATTACTATTGATTTCCATGTGAATATTGGAAATACCTTGTGATGGTGGATTTGTTCTGGATGCTTCTTTTTTTTTCGTTTTTTGGTTTGGGGTTTTTTTTTTTTGCTTCCAAATATGTTAAGTTGTTGGCCTGTAATTTAGCTGTATTCCGTGTTCTTGCATTTGGAATCAGGGTAGGTGAGGATAACCTCACTGGTAGTTTAAGCATTATCTTGCATACCTCTAACATATGTGCCTTTTTGTTCTTTTCCTTGCCCATCATTTACTCTGAAAGAAAATGATAGCTGTAGTTTATAAAAGAAGCAGGCTTTTACATGCATCAATAGAATCTATTTATACCTAATGATCAGCAAAGAATTGCCAGAGAAAAAAGAAGCTTTTTAAAAAAAATCTACAAGCATTATAAATGAGATTATAGAGAAAATATGCAATGCTCACTGTTCTGTATTTCAGGACTGATTGAGTTACTCAGAATATAACTGCCAGTGAAATTCGTGTCTCCTTCTGTGGGGGCAACATCAAGTGCAAAGGCAGAGAAAAATTAAAGTCTATTTCAACTTGAGCATGTGAATGTGTTTGCTAGATGTAGGCTGGGTTGTGTTGCAGGAGGATGGAAAAAATGTCAAGTAGGATGCAAACGAGTAACCCACGTGTCAGCTCCCCTGGTCCTAGGTGGTTATAGGGCCAAACTCTCTGTAGGGTGTTTGAGGGTGGTCCTACAGCTGCACTAAGGTACCCGAGTGCGTACTAGACCCAGCCCTCCTCACCGCAGCCCTGCTCCGTGCACAATCTGCAACCCAACTTCATGCTGCGTCTCCCAGGAAAGGTGGGAGCAAACGGTGGGTGGGTTTTGCATCACCTTGAAGATACCCGACCTTTCAGGAAATAAAAAGCTTTGCCCTTGAAATCTCCTGGTTTGTTCTTCTTTGGCAGCACAAAGGAGAGGCAGGAGAGTACGAGGGTTTGGTTCCAAAATTTTTTATTCCCTTTGTAGCTTCTATTTCATCCTTCCTAAGGGAACTTTTGGTCACTGTGTCTGACGACTTTTTCTCTTGCATGTCTGATCATTCAAAAAAGAACCAAATTTGAAACAGAAGCAGCCTAAATGATCTGCATTCTTTGCGATTAGAAATAAACAGTGGAACTTTCCCAGGAGCAATTTTCTATTTATCTTGTTTTCTTTTGTCCTTACTCATTAAATTACACGCCAATTTTTAGAAAATGAACTCCTCAGAGCATGGTTCTTGACTTCTTATTAGCCTGCAGAATGCCACACATGCCAACAGAGCTGTATAAACAACGGCAGATATCAGATCTGAGAAAATCTATGTGAGAAGCTCAGAATGCAATAAAGCACTCACTTCTGGCACCTCACAAAAATGCTTCAAACTTTCTCAGATGTCAGCCAAAGTCTTAACGAAGCAAGTCTTCCAAAGATGTTGGAAGATTTGAGCCCTTACCAGTATGAGCTCCTGAGTCAATAGCAGAGGGCCACTAACTTCAGTGTGAGCGGGAACACATTTCCTAAATGCAGCTGGCATCAAAGGGCTCATTTCTCTCATTTGTCCTACAACAGGATTTATCATTTACGCCTTTGTAGAATGAGTGAAAAACACCGTTAAATTGGAATACCAGTGTGATATATTTCACTTTTCATGGGTGTAAATGACCATGCAATGTGTCTATGAAAAAAATCCATCCCTGCTATGGTGCACCTGACAGCCCAGAGTCCCCCTTAGTATTCGATGGCACCAGCACACTGCCCTCCAGCATGGTGCTTGCTGGTTTTCAGTGAACAGGCTGTATTATCCTCAAACAGTTTGTGTGATACTTGCGAGCAACATGAGGATGCTGGTGGCATGATAGGACTGCAAAACAGTGTTAGACTGTACCTTTGCCCTGTTCTGCTGCATATGCTTGTCTTTGTAAAAACCTTCATTCCTTAGATTTCCTCTCTTTTTCGGATCTTGCCATTTATGACTCAACAGCTACCCATTTTTGAAATTTCAATTCTGCCAGAAAAAAGCTTCTATTAATTGAACTTATTGAAAGATTTTACCAGTTTTATGATGTTACATCTTTTAGAATGAGGTTCTGCCCAAGTGCAGAGGGCTCACATGAGATTTCCGTGGTACATTTGCCTCAGGTGTATCTATGCAAAGGTTAATAGTTACCATGACGCTGAACTCAGTTTTCATAAAACTTGTGTGACTGACAGGCTCAGGCCCCTCTATCAAAAAAAAACATGGGTACAGTGTGAAGAGGTTTCCTTTGCTCGGCAGCATGGCTGAAGTCGGGGGGTGTCTCAGCAGCAGGAGACTCTCTAGTGAGTACCTGTAGCTGAAGCGCTCAAGGAATCCAAAAACACTAAAGTTTTCAGGAGGCTTTTATCTAGGTTATCCCAAAACGAGCACATTCAGGTTCAAAATATTTGCTTTAAGGACAAGCTAGGTATACATACGGGCCCTATTCTCAAAAGGAAGGAGCAAGCGGTAGGACTGCTCTAACACTGTGCAGTGAATATTTGCCTGCGTTGACAGCACTAAAGTAGAGTTCATAGGAATAGTTAAACTCCAATTTCAAAAGCAGAAGTTCTGCTGCGCTGCTGTTTTCCTCTTTTTTTAATCAGATTCTGTAACAGCCCTGACAGATACTAATGATGATGGTGACACATCAGATGATAGGGGAAGCAGTTCTGCACAACTTTAGAGGCAGCAGTTATAATTAAAAAAAAAAAAAATCTCCCACAGATCATGGTATTTATCCTTCAGCAAAAAGAAACATTTTTTTTAGGTTCTTCTAGCCAGTCAGTCTTTTGCTGTTTCCACTGTTTCTTTAAAGCACCAAAAACATACAGGGAGAGGATTATAGCTGTTGGAAGCGTTGTGTGCCCTCCCACTTACTGCAGCCCCACGGAATGGTCAAAATGGGTTTCTCCTGCATTTTACAGTCAATAAGCCTCTTCCAGTATCAACTCTTGTTGGAGCAGGAACTACCTTTTATTCCTGTAGATTATGCAGCAATCAA